GACATATTTAATCTATTAAGACTGGATGTGTTTGAATGAAAAAGGCTATTATCAGAAAAACGGAGCAGATTTATGTTTTCAATGAAAACGTATCTCAGTGAAGAAAGGCAAAGCGCTAGCCTCCCGTTGTCATTCATCTCAGCTAACGGCCGGGCTCAACCGGGCATGTCTGCAGCGTGAGTCCCGTAGCAGCTCGCCCCCCTGTTAATCAATTACAGCGACTCCACCGGCAACGAGAGCGGCACGACAACTCTCTATTTTACGCGGCTCTTCTATTGTTTATCCGTGACACTGTGTCCGTGGCGGACATTTGAAAGTGAGTAGATGACAAACAGTACAGTAAACTTGTAGATAACTCAAATATATGTAATAACTTAAGTGGAAAATGCTTTAACATTTCATGCAGCCTACATGCAGCCTCTTGGCTCAGCAAACGGTAAACAACCCCGCTGGCTTCTCTACGTCCTCAAACATGTACGGCTGGATTAGATTTGTGGCAGCCATTGCTGAGCCAGGGAGATGTCAATCAAAACGAGGGAGCTCTCAATCAGAGCGTTATCTGCCACGCCCACTCTGTCCTGGCAAGTGGTCTAAACTGTTTTTAAACCAGGTTTTCTAATAGTTATTAATGGTTATTTTCACTCAGACTTTTGTGGATGATTAATGAGACACTCGACTTTGATATAATATATGCATTTTTACTATTTCAAGCTGTGTTTCCAAAGGCTTTAAATAGGACATAGATCATAATGTGTGGTCGTACAACATCCACATATCCAAGTTCATGGTGTCGCGATAGACCCAGTTTTGACAATAACTGATATTTAATAAATGAAATAGTGTCATAATGTTGATAATACACATGTAATTATATTGTGTAAATAATCCAGCACCTCTTAAATTATTTCCATTTCTTCATATTCTTGCTTTGTCTCTTATTTTGGTCACATATTTTGATTGTATGTTTGTTATGTAATGCAGTTTTATCTGTGTGTTTTTGTTATGTATTTGTGTTTGAGGATCCCCTTAAAAATCTGATGCTACATCTCAAGTGGCTATTGTTTCAATAAATTCAAATTCAAATATAGATATTGCGATAATATTGTTATTGTGAATGCTTTCGGCCAAAATAATTGTTTAGTAAAAATCTGATATTCTGCCAGCCCTAGTCTGATATAATTTCTCTGATATAACCAGAGATAAACCATGGTGGCCCACTTTAAATTCATTTCCTGTATCTGTGTCACATGGGTTTCGCCACTTACCCACCCCTTTTGTAGACTAGTGGCAGTCCTAAATGGGATTTATACTTGTGCGGCAGACCCTATGCAGCATGTGTCACTCTGCAGTTACACCTCCGAAACACTAGTTGGCAGTGGGGTTTCTGTGAAGTGCTGTAAAGTTTAGTTGATTCAAACTCACATTTAACACACATTAAACATGGCTTAATAGTGACAATTTCAAACACAAGTACACAAATCAGCTTCACTTTGACTTCCAGCATTCACAGACAAACACTTGTCTTTATCTGGACACATATTCCCTACAAACACAACATGCTAATGTTTTTAGCACAAGCCTATGGCATTTTACATTGTATAAATTAGCCTAGCAACTAGCAGACTTTCCCTCTTCTCATATAAAGCCAGGGACAACAGCAACACTTAACAAAGGTAACGTTACAAAATTCGGCTCTATTACAGCTCACAAGGTTTACTGACAAAACAACTCTTACACTAAACACATTTTCCAAACAAATATAAGATGCTAACGTTATTAGTGCCAGCCTTTGGCATTTTGCATTGTATAAATTAGTCTAGTGACGAGCGGAGATTTCCTCTGCTCATATGAAGCCAGGATAAATCACACACAAGACTTAAAATGCTTTTTTGTGGAGGCTTTATTGTCTTCACAATTTATTGTTTCTTATTTGTGGAAATTAAAGTAAATGTGAATAAAATTGGTGCAGCTTGTAGTGGGGTACAGTATCTTTGATATAACTTAAATATGCCGTAGCTAATAGTTGGCTGGGTTAACTGGAAGTAGCACAGTAATCATTAAACAGATTAAGTAGTTTTTATGAGGTATTTTTGTTTCTTGTCAACTTTGACTTTGTATGATGTTTTATTTAAATAAAATTAGTGTTTATTTAAAGGGGGTTTGGTGGCTTGGCAGTACTGATAATGGGGCTGTTTATGGTTAAACAAAAAGGATCTTACTCTTTAACAAAAAGGTTTGTCTCTGTGGGGATCCCTTTTATTATGTTTTCAGACACTAAGAATTAAAATCTGAGCCTGTCAGTGGCAAAACAAGAACTTTTAGTGGGCGTAAAATGATGATGAGAACAGCTCTGAGTGGTTACACTGCATTCTGTTTTGCAGCTGGACCAGTTTCAAAAGCTGTTCCCATTTGTCACTTAACATAAAAACATGGGAAACTAGGGTCCAGGTTGAAAAATAGCAGAGTTACCCTTTAAGTATCTCTGTCTCAAAAGGCTGGTCTCATTGTCCTCAGAGCATGCAAACAAATCTGCAGATGACCAAGTGTCTTTTATTTACAGCCCGCATGATCTCACAGGATGCCGCTCGCTTTCATCCTCTCAAACTGTCCCATCACTTCTTTATCTCACAACTTCTTTTTCATCAGCTTTTTTTTAAGCTATTACCTTTCTTCCCCCTTCCTCCTCATTCAACTTCCTCCACTCATGCATAGTAAGAGTGAGATCCTCTGTCTCACCGACACAAACTTTGTCTCCCGGGGCCATATGTTGACCCGTGGTGGACCTGAATACAGCCATCTGCCTGCCTTAACTACGTCCCACAGGGCAGGAGTGTGGGAGAATGTCCATCAGACACAATACAGCACACACACACACACAGAAACCATGCGAGCACACACATGCCTTTAACCCCTTCACCGCCACTAATCACTCCCAGACAGCCAGCCCATCTCATGTTAACAGTGACAAGATAATAGCTCTTGTGTGTGCATGAAAAAGAGATTCCTGGAGGGTCAACCATGCATATGCATCTATAACCCTGCTTTTGTGTGTGCTGATACTTGAAATATAGTTTCACTTAATAAGGACCATTTAAGTAGTGGGTTTTCCTCCTCCTGCCTCTACCAACTTGTGTTACTCACCACACTGTCATAACAGGATGCTTCCCAGCTGCCATGCAGGGTGTAAAACGTGGAGAGGCGAGAGGATGTATTTGAAGTAAAGGAGAGAAACAAAGTGAGAAAGGCACACTGGGAAGTGGTGGAGGCGGTGAGGGAGAAGGGACGTGGGTGGGAGCCCAGGATTGTCCAGATTAAGCCCCAAACAAAAGACTTTTTATCTCCACATGAAATCTCAATGGCATGACTTCACACACACACACACACACATACACACCATTGTCCTGCTATATTACAGCACACTGGTTGAGGCAGAAATGACTTGTAACTAATAACACTAGCAGTAATACCTAATGATCAGCCTTCCTTAAATTGGCTTTTTAACCATAAAATATGAACCAAGACCTCATTATAGTTGACTGAGGTGATTTCAGAAGACAGCTTACAATAACTAATGCATTTATGAGAATCACTTCTGGATCAGTCAGCAACACTGTTATGCAAGCACTCTCTTTAAGCTGATGATGCACCGCAGAGTATCTTTGTGACTAATTTCCTGCTACCTTGCACAATAACACCTGGAAACGTGAAGGATGTGCTGGGTTTCACTCTGATTACGCATGCTAATGTGTGTTTTTCTGTGTGTGTCTGTTGTCAAATATGCACACAAGGTGTACGATGGAGGACTGGTGATAACTGTTCCTAAACACGCTTGCTGTGAAACCCGACCTCAGATTTAACCTTGTTTGGTGTTTCTCCTCGCTATTTTTGTTTGTCTCTTTGATGCCTGCTGTTACGGTCTGGCACCTAGTCGTTACCTTTTTATGAAGCCCCAACCTCACCTGCGTGCTGTGGGGGTACATACCTATAAATGTCCTGGACACATTAAATAAGAAGACAGCTTTATGGGAAAATATTGCATTGTATATCTTTAATTATTTTATCCGAGTGCACCTGTCAAGTGACACCTGTGTGCCAATTTTTCTTTTTATCCTTTAAGCTGATAAACTAAAGGATCAAGAGTTCCTTTAAGGACCAAGTTGGAAATTAACTTTTTTGCCCACCTGCCACTGTGGCGGGTGGATTCCAAAGCAGCCACTTCCCCCGATAAAAAAGCAAAACTAAAAACCCTCTACATAAATTAACTGTCCTTGTCGTCCAGTTTCTGTGTTGCTGTCCAGGAAATCATTACTGTCTTTTCTCTCAGTCTAATCCGAGACAGCGACTTCAGAGTTAAGCAAATTCTTTTACTTCTTACTTCTGACATTGTCTCTATATTTAGTTAACCTCAACAGTACAGGCCCACTGGGGAAATGTGATCTACAATGAAAATCATAAATGTCAGTTTGCTGGTTTCCTGCCCGCTTCCTTCCTTCCTCTCTGCACCTTGCATCTAAAACGTCACAAATGTGTGAACACTGTTGCCATACAGCCAGCGTTCTACAAAATAGGATGGAAGGTGAAGGAAACACGAGCATTGTAATTTCTACACTGTTGCATCAGCATCTCAGCACAAGGTTTCTGAGCCTGTATGAATTCTACCTGCGAATGATTAAGTGAAACTCCGAGAGGTAAAAAATCAAAAACAAAAACACTTTATTTCAAGTACAAAAACAGCAAAAAACAAAAAGAAACCAAATATATTAAACTTGATACAAGCATTACCAACTCAAAGTTCTCTATAAATACGTTAAAATAAATTAAAGAAATGTACTAAAGATTATCACCTTTAACACTAAACAGGCCTCAAACATGTTGATGAAAAGGCAATTTTAAATAGACCAGTAACAGCGCAGCGTCTGTTCCTCTAACCAACTACTTCATAAACACACATAACTGCCGAGTAACATTTCTATAACACTAAGCAGACATACCCTAACCCTACAGAATGCTGGATCTAGCTCAGTAAGGCAACAGACCTGGGCACACGGTTCACATGCCCAGGAACACTACACATTCGTAACAGTACAAAGGCGAAACAGGAAGAATTATTACTGCGGGAGAGATGGAATTTGGCGGGGCGAGCCACAAAAACATAAATACTCATTTTGAAAATGTATCACCAGTGCTGCCAGTGGACAAGGGAGGAAATGAATCCCACTATTGGGAATGTTTGTGTTTAAGATAATCTAAAATACATATATTAGCACCACAATTGATTGGGAAGAACACCAGAGGTAAAACAGGACTTGCATGAAACACGACCTGCTTTAACTCAGGGTTTTTTTTGTCTTAACATTGATGGAGTTTCTCTTATACCTTCTATTTATGCTGGCACACTTCACCTATCAAAGCCCCTAAAATTCCCATGTCCTCTTTTTTTGCAGTGGGCAAGTCATACAGTTAGTTATATGTCATGAACATGAGATTTGATTAAGTATGATTGAACCCACTTGGCTTTTTTCACTGATCTCAAACCGAGTCCCCCTCGCTCCTCCCATTGGGCAGGTTAAATTTGGTCGCTTGGCATTTAACTGGTGGCAGTTTGTCAATAATGCATGTGAGACTCAAGAACACTTAAGAGGGACCTGAACTCACACAACCTTACTTGACTAAATAAAAAGACTCACACCCCTCCAAACATCTCTCCCAACAAACCAGCAAATCTTGTTTTAACACATGACCTGCCAAATAATGCAACAGGCACTTTAGTTGTTTTAAAAAAACTTAACATTCAGGTTTGAGGTCATAATTTACCTCAGACTGTAGAGTTATGAGGAAAAAAATACTTTCACCAGCTTATAAGCACAATACTGTGTACAATTAGTGGAAAACAAGTTCCTACATTGTGTGTTTGTGCCACCATAATCAAAACCTTTGAGTTACAAAAGATGTCTTTGGCTTCATCACGTTCTTCAGATCACTCAGGTGTAACAGAAATAATGTGGTTGGACACAACAACAGGCGGCACTGTGGCCAATCACACTGTGATCACACTATCTTTGTCGCAATTCGATTTTTTAAACACTATTTTGGTGAAGCATCGACCACTTCTGGCACTATTTCACTCCTGTCTTGATATGTACTCTGTTTTGGTGGCGCCACACGTTTCAGTTTCAGCATCACTGCCGCTTCCCTTACACATATGACTGTGACATTTCAACCACATGAATCTAAAAGGCGGATCTCTCTGTGCGTTCGAGTCAGTCTTTGTTTCCTTTGATGCCACGCAGGTGCAAGGAACATCTGAGGTGTCAGTCCAGGTGCTGTGTGTGTGTGTGTGTGTGTGTGTGTGTGTGTGTGTGTGTGTGTGAGGGGGTGCGTGCATTTATAGGGTTCTTGTGTGTGAGCATTGTGTGTGCTTGAGCATGGATATGTGTGTACGGAATATAATGTGTGTCAGAGTACGCTGGGTCTGCATGTTTGTGTCTGAGTGTATGCAAATATGTATGTTTGTGTTCGCAGCACACTGCGGCCTAAAGGCAGAACCCTGTAGAATCCTCAGGAACAGAGAACTGGCTGAATACGGCCAGGCGTCTGCCGTTGACGTCGCTAATGCCGCCACAGGATTCGGAGCCACTGAGGGAGCTCGCAGAGCTGCTTCCATCCTGGTCCTGGTCGCACAGAGAGGTGTAGGACAGGGATCGGGCACCAAGTGGCCCTGAAAACACCCCAATAGTACTGGGACTCAGCCGCAGGGAAGGGGAGGCATTCGGAGACAGCCCACATGGAGAACAGCCGGAGTCTGGGGAGGGAAGGAATGGAGACCTGGGATCTCCTGCAGTGGCCTGGCCCATGATGGGCTGGTACTGGTGGGCAGGGGAGGCCTCGAAGGCAGAGTCCACCTCCAGGAAGGCATGAGAAAGGAGGTCAGTAATGTCAGCGCAGGAGGGAGGAGAGGCCGATGGAGCACGTGTGAAAGAGGCTGTGGCAGGCCGAGGGTGAGCATTAGGGGCAGGCTGAAGGGCTTGCTGGGGCGCAGAGGGGAACCCTGCAAAACTGAAGCTCTGTCTGACGAGGGGAGGTCTGTGCGAGCGGAAGGAGGAAGATGGCTGCTGGGGAATGCTTGCGGAGGAGGAAGAGGACGTGGAGGAACGAGTGGCGTGTTTCTTTTCTTCCTCGTTGTTGTGGACAAAGTGGCAGCGTATCCCATAGGGGCAGAAACCGATGGTGTGAAACGTACGGCACGGCTCCGTTTTGTATTTCGGATGTCTATTAAGATCCCGCAGCTCGTCTGTCCCGTGGGCAAACTGGCACTTCCCACCATACTTGCACAAGCCACTCTCGGTGAAAGATCGACACAGTTCAGTCTTATAGCGTGATGAGGAAGAGGACGATGAGGATGAGCTAGTGTTCAGTGCGGTGGGGCTGATGTCATTTTGGGAGAGCGCTACGTCAGTCCCGGGCCAGCCAAGACTCACTGCTGTGGTGCTGCTGGTCTCCACCATGCTGATGGAGCGCTGGGAGAGGAAGCCCGACTTCCCCCACTGGGTGGAATTAGCAAGCTGGGAGGGCAGAGGGCTTTCTGACTGCTGCCCCCATTGGCTGGAGGTCAGTAATGCACCATCTGAAGGATCCGTGGGGAGGCAGGAGAGGGATGACAGTGAAAACGACATGTTGCTACGTGTCTGACCAATGCAACCTGTTGTTCTCATTGCCAGACTCTGGGGTGGTAGCGGTCGGCTCTGCTCCCTCAGGTCCAGATTCAGTAGCTGCTGTAAGAACAACAGACACAAGACAACATTAGCATATCAAGTGATGTGTTTATAAAATCCCTGCGGTATTTTTCTTCGTCCTTTAATGACTCTAACTTTCTTTATATTAGCATGTGTTAACATTTCCCTTAAATAGAACAGTGAAGGAACATTTGTGCAAGTGATCAGCTGTTACAAGGGTGTAATTGTTTTCATTTTTTCCTCACTGAACACTACAGCAGTTACACGTGGCAAAGGTAAAACACATTTTTCCCCCTCAGATTTACTTCAGTAGCCAACATGTTTACAGATGCATTACATTCAGTACGTTTACATGCACAGCTTAATCGAGCTATGCTCAAAATTCGATTTTGGCGTCTAATCGGACTTCTGTCCTTGTCCCAGTTTACAAGCAACTGAGAAAATCGAATTACTGACGGGAACGTGTCCTCCTCCTCAACACTAGGTGGCGATATGCGTCGTTTCAGTGGGTTAATACGGCCCCCTTTCCGGTTGACCTATTACGTGACTTAGTAATAAACAACCGGAGTCAGGCGGCAGACCGGCATTTTCGAACAATAGCAAGATGGATAATCGTACAGCTTTGTTCATCTCGTACATAATGTAAGCGTTACTGATTGTGTAGATAAGGTGCACGCTATCCCTCGTGGTCATGGTGATTTCGAGAGGCAGACAAGAACGCCGTATGCTGTTGGAGGGCTACAACAATAGCATGTCTTGTCTGTTCCGGGTAGGGCTGTAACGGTACGTGTATTTGTGTCGAACCGTTTGGTACACGACTTTCGGTTCGGCACGACCCTGTACTGAATTATTGGGCGCAGGACATTATTTTATTTTATATTGTTTTATTTTAATTCCGTTTTTGCGAGCCGAACCATTTAAAATATCTAGTTCCCCGACGGACATAATTGAGTGACGGACCGAGTCCAACTGTAAATCTCCGCCTTCACTTTGTGCAGCGCATTCTCGCATTTTGACAACATGGCAAGTGAGCCTGACAAACATGAAGACCCACCCACAAACCTTAAGCCCTCCGTTCGGGAACACTTTGGTTTCAGGGTAAAATACGAAGATGGAAATAAACAAGTGGATGAAACAAAAGCAGTGTGCCGACACTGCAGAACAGCGGTCGGGTATGTACTTCTAACATGCTAACGCATCTAAAGCGACACTACCCGAGTTTGAATGTTAACTGGCACGACTAGAAAGAGCAATCTGGTGCAAACTACGATACCGTCGTCGTTTAAAAAGAAAGAGCGTTTCCCTGACCATTCTGATCGTGCTAAATAACCAACGCCATTGGAGTGTTGTTTAAGCTGCACTTTAGATATTGAAGCATGTTTTGTTTACTGCACTTTAACAAAGTGGGAAAGCTAAGTAAGTTCCTAGTAAAACTGAATCTGAGCAGGCTTTAAAGCTGACCAGCTGCACTATACTTTTTATTTTATTTGAGTAAAATTGTTTAAGCAGAAATTTATATTTATATTTTTCATTCAAAAAATGTGTTAAAAAAACAGCAGAATTTTATTTTTCACTTTTATATTTCTATTTTCATTCAAACAATGTGAAAAAGCAGGATTTTATATATATTTGTTTCATTCAAAAATTGTGTAAAAAGAGTTAACTGCTGTGGTGGTACGTTTTAATAAGGTTACCAATAAGTAAAAGATATTTAATAGCTGTCTATTTTTTTCATTACTGTACTGAAAAAAACCAAACCGTGACTTATGTACCGAGGTACGTACCGAACCGCGATTTTTGTGTACCGTTACACCCCTAGTCCCGGGGTCATACGCCAGCGCGGGGGGTGTGGAGCATGCGCACATGCATTGTCTAGTTTAACTCCGATTACGGCATATACATGCCAAAGAAAATCAAATTCCAATCACATTATCTGGGTGTCTTAATCGTTGGAGAACTCTGATATTAGTCGGAGTAACGCATTTACATGCATTTCAGTTGTCCAGTTATAGTCGGATTAAGGCAATAATTCGTTTTTTTTTCAAGTGTCACGTAAACATACTGATTAATGGATTTTCCAGTGTTCAATTCAATACAATACAATACAATATGCAATACAGACACTACAAAGTTAGCTGCGTGGTACTTCAGTCAGCAGTATGTCCAATGGACTCACACTCTTATGTTTGAATTTTGATCTGTCAATCTTGAAGGAATACTTTATCCACAAATGACCATTTGTAAATCAATTACTCATGCTGTGTTACCTTAAAATCATGAAAAAAACCTGTTTGTCTCACAGGTTGATGTACCGACTGACTGGACCACGTTTAACAACAGCAAAACTATCAAAACCACATTTACAAACTTTAGAATTGGAGTCTGGCTTTGGAAAGAGCACAGATAAGTTTCACTTTCAGTCTAGAGAATGAAAGTATGCATGAAGTACTGAGCAAACAACTGCATAAATGAAACTTGTATAATACTGCACGAGCTGTGTGTGAGTGTATACATGGATGTTTTGATGTAGTGTTGCTGTTGTTAAACATGGTCTCTAATAAATCAATGTGATCACTTTTTTCGGTGGTAGCATGCAAGAAAAACAGTTTTCTTTATGAAGGTAACACTGCATGAGTAATTGATATACAAATGCTCATTTTTGTGGTTTAAGTATTCCTTTAACTTTCCTGTCTAACCTTTAACTGTCTAATACAAAATTCCTTACAGGGCCTTGCAGGGACATTTTGTCTTATATACACAGCTACAAGACAGAAAGTTAGAGTACACATTAATATTCAGACATAGATAAAAATGCATTCTGAAGTAGTATTCGAACTATAAAGTAGTAGATTAAAGCCAGTTATGCTCATTTAAATAACTGATTATAGGTTTGTTATTGATAGTTTGGCCACAACAACATGCTTAACTCAAAATGATTTTAGTGTATTGTAGTATGTGCACTTTAATATATGTATTGTCATATGCCTACAGTGGTATGCCCATAGTAGGTGTAGCATAGGATTAATTGTGATGGTTGTATTGTGGTATATGTACGGTGGCATGTGTATTGTAGTGTGTGTGGATTGTGGTTTATGTGTAATATTGTGCCTCTCAGGTCTACATGCAAAAGCCCCACTAGGGACAAGAGTTGAGAATCTGCAATACCTATAAACTCTCTGTGCAACACATCAGTCCCATACTCTGTATTCAAACTATGTTCAAATGCATCCTCTTGTTGAATAATAAATAAATAAACACCTTACACTGCTTTCAAAGTTGTTGGATGATCTTGGAGGGTGACAGTCGACCACATTTCTCACATAAACAGTGTAATAATCCATCAACAATCTTGCCTGCCTTTTTAAATGCACACTTACAAGACCACAAAGGTTTAACCTGGCATCCTACACACACTAGCATCCTTTAGGTATAGGATGTTGCTACGCAGCAAGTACAGGAAAACCTTCGTATTTCTGAGAGTAGTGTTGCTTACTTACTGGCATCCAGTCAATTAAATATCTCTACATGCTACCAACCCAGCTTGACAACTTTAACTGGCGACTTTTTGTGACTGTAAGTATAAAAAGTTCAAGTTTGTTTCACCGTGTTGCCTCTAAACCCTTTAAATACATGTTAATACTGACGTTAGCTTACATTATCTACAATTAACGTGCTAGCTAACGTTAATTGAAAGTCAGTTACGTTGTTACGATGACACCAACTTCAACAACTGCTCCCACTTTGTGACAAGTTAGCCTTAACTTCAAGCTAACTTTCAGGTAACGTAACAACCAACAGCTACATAAAGACACGACTTAAAAGTTAATCAAACTGTGAATTCAAGTCAACAACAGTCCGCTAAACAACACTTGAAAAGACGAACACAGCAAACAGCGTAAAGTTAGCCGTGTAGCTAGCTAGCTAACGTTACCCCCCCGTGACCTGCTGTTAGCCAACTTCTGCTCCGCTCAACTTTCTCTGCGCCTTTACCTTGCACATCATCTCCTCCAGGTCCGCAAACTCGTACATGGGGAAAGATGGCATGTTGCTGAGCTCTCAAAAGTTTGGTCCGATCCCGTCTGCCCCCGCAGTGATAGACGTGAGGCAACTCGCTGGCATGGGTAGGAGTTTCTCGCTGTGTACGCGGTGCTAAACAAGCCCAAGACCTCGACCACGTGTGGATTTAAAACCTGATACTGCTGTTAGCCACTCCCACGGCTCTGTCAGTCAGCCCAAAGTTGTTTTCACCAGACACAGCACACACACACACACACACACACACACACACACACACACACCCACTGCATCAGGGTACACAGATCCATGAGAAATACTTTTATATGACCTGTTTTTAATTCCTAAAATACAAAAAGCAGCATGGTTTCATTGTGTGAATCAAACTTTTTGCAGCTGTAAAATTAGCTTCATGATTCAAGTGACAAAATGCACATCAATTTATTGGCTAATACTTATATGACCTTGAAATATAGATTGCACATGCTCAAGTCAGCTTATATACCATTATGTTTGAAATACTGTAGTCTCAGCTTGAGCAAATAAAGAATACATGTTAACAGGTACCATAAAACTTCAATTTAAAGCCCAGTCCCTTTTACTAGCCTAGTGCAGCTACACATTTTGGCAAATAAAGGCCTATCTAAATTAGACACCAAGGGTCTCATTTATAAACATTGCGTACGCACAAAACGAGGCCTGAAAGTAGTGTGCGCCATTTCCCACAACGCAAAAGTTGTGATCTCTAAAAGCAGACTTGATGGTAGAAACTTTGACCCACGCTTACAAACATTTCAGAGGCATGGAAATTGGCGACGCAGATGGTGAGGTGGAAGCCTGATTGCAGAAATTGTTTAATATTATATTGGCGCACGCCATTTTTGGCTTTTGTCTGTACGTACATTTCTAGTTTGGATCCGATGCACTGTTTTTTAAATGAGACCTGGTCTGGTTGCCAAGCAGTTCTTTGGATGTATAAAATCAGGTTATCGGCTACACGCTTGAGCTAACGTTGTTTAGATCGTGCATACGAATATAAATATTCAAACTTTTGTCAACATGGATATGCTACACATCGTTAGCTTGGTTCGATTCTCCACAAGTCAATCGTTCAGTTAATTTTATCGACACCATGAGCACCAGAGAAGACCGTAATTCATTCGGATTTACCAGCATGACGAAAAAACAAGTGGTGACTCCCTACCTCTGAAGCTGTCATAGAGTCAGAATATGTGTCTGTTCCTCGATTACCCAGTGAAATGTTCATATTGCTTTAGTCTGTAAGGGTCCACCGATCAAAAGAATCAAAAGGGGTTTTCATAAAAAAGTTGTGAGTATTGTGTTAAGAGGATAAAAAGTCATTTGTAGTGATAGTGATTTGTAATGGATATGTTATTCAAAGCTATTTCTTTATACAAGTAATATTAAGACTAGTTCAAAGAAACAACTTGATCATATGTCCTAACTTTGCTGAGTAACAGTTTTGTGTAAAATGAAGTAAAGGCCTGTCCCAGATATGAGCCTGTTGAGTTCAGTGATTTAACCAAATAATAACCCGGGCTACTAATTGAAGTTTTACAGTAAGTAACATGGCTAAACACAGGTGTATGATCTTTGTCAAATACAGCCTATCTGTATACTATAATATAAATGTAAGGTGGGGGAAAATAAAAACTGTTGACATGAAATCAATCTATACATGTCACCAGGTCGCAGCCAATGTTTCCTCTGTTATGCACTTTGCTGAGAAGTGCAGGTCGGCTACTCACTGACACACCTGAAATGTTGCCTTGTCTGATAACATCTTTGCTATGACCATTTTCAGTGTTGGGAAGTAACTAGTTACAGTAATTAAATTACAAAATAAATGTAACTGTGATCAGTTACAGTTACTGAGATAAAATATGTAATTACAGTTGCTAATTGAAATGTTGGCGATTACAGAGGGCATACATTCGACTATATATTTTTTTTTTCGGTAAAGAGTTTATATGTACATTATACATTGATTTTGTTGCTGCATGTCACGCTTTTGTCATAGCATTTTTCAGCTTTATTGCCCACTTTAAAATATTCACAAGAAAAGAAATCAAATGTAATAAGTTATTTTGCTTTAATGAAGTAATGAAATAGTTACATTACTTACCATATTTTAAGCAGGGTAACTTGTAATCTGTAAGTAACCTTCCTAACACTGACCATTGTATATCAATTAGTCATTTTACCTTAAATTCCTGAATAAAAGTTGGGTTTTCTCTCATGCCTCCACAGAAAATAGTGAATATACAGATTTATTGATTGACTGGGGACAGTGTTTAACAACAGCTAAACTAAAGGCTGTCAAAACATCAGTTTACAAACTCTCACACAGCTCATGCAGTCTCATTTATGCAGTCGTACATTCAGTACTTCCAAAACACATGCAAATTTGCTAAAATCATGCTATTTAAAACTGAACTGAGAGTGAAACTCTAGCACTAAGGGTTTTTTAGCATTTAGTGTTGCTGTTGTTAAACGTGGTCTCCAATCAATCAATAATAATAAACTAAATTTCTATAGCACTTTTCAAAACACAGTTACAAAGTGCTTTATGAGACAAATATAATAGTAAACACCATCAAGATAAGATAGACCAGATACATCAGTGTGTGATGAAAATAAATAAATAATAAAATTGCTACAAGAAGGATAGAAACTAGACACGCAACAGATGTAAAAGTATGTTTTGAGGGGTGTTTTAAATGAAGACACTGAGTTGAATAAATCAATTGCTGTTTTCTGTGGAGGCATGTGAGAAAAACAAAGTTTTCTTAACAAATTCAAGGCAATATGGCTTGACTACTTACGGCAATGTGCTATGGAATTGTTTAGCCATAATCCTGATACCTTATGATAATGTCTGCTGGCCGATGGAAGATGATCATAAGACTCCTTCTTGAGTTGAAGCATAACTCATAGCTTTTTTTCAAATAATTTTAAGCCAGATAGTGACTCTTAAAGTTTATGTGAAGCCATATAGTTTATATCAGAGGGGACAGAGGAGGTGCCACTGGTAATAGTTAAACTGAAGGAAGGTTATAAAACAAAGGGAGCCACAAGAAACAGAAAGCAGACAAACACTAGAAAGAAAGGCTACTGTGAGGACAAAAAAAAAGGACCACATGCACTAAACAGGAGGACTGAACACATGGTATGGAGACAACCTAGTCCTATGAGACAAGACAAGGAGGAGGGAAGTCTTAGATTTCAAAGGTAAAGGTAGATGTGTGAAAAATTCCACTGCAGAGCAGAGCCGGGATAATATCCAACAGTACTGCTCACACGTACAAACACAGACTTGTTCCTCGAGCTTTGCAACAAAAATGTCAAATTAATATGTAATTTCCCTGAACTCAAACCTCAGACTAATCGCAACCCAACTTAAAACCCTAAATCCTCCAGCCATCACTGGTGAGACATTTGGTCCCCACAGAGACAGAATTCCAAAAGCACACACACCCACACACACACACACACACAGGTCTGCCAGGAGTGAAGTTGTCACACCTCTGGGATTGTAAAGAGGATTGCAACAGCATGCCCAGTAGCCTGACAAGTTGGCAAACAGTTCGGGGAAAGAAACAGCTTTGGGTTTGTTCTGTACACTTCAGTGATACAGTGCTTTGATTCCCACCTGGGCACTGCTGCTTAAACTAAGAGTGTAAGCACATATGGTTGGAATAAAAATACCAAGTAGCTTAAATTAAAGATGACAATATTTCTAAAAACTAGAAGGGGAAATAGTCTCAAAGGTTAGTTGGCTGAAAGCGTGAACAGTCCTCACAAGAGCTTCCTGAAAGAAAAATGGTCAGAAAGGTGTACATAAATAAAAGTTTTGAAATGCTGGGCTCCCATTATGAGAAAAAGTTCTTGAAAGCAGCACACAGCTCTGAGTCCCTTCAGAAAGATGAGCTCAGCTGAGAACAAAGCCTGCCGAAAAGCTTTGTTTTGGTCCAGCCAAGTGGTCACCATTAAGTGTGTGTGTTTGTGTGTGTTTGCATGCTTGTGTGTGTTTGACAGAGGGTCTCAACACCCCCCAACCCTCATCCCCCCAGTATTGTGATGATGTAATGGTATACAGGACCACTCTTACAGCCTGAAGGTTGTCTTAGCCAGCTGTGTTGTGACTTGCCTGATTTGTGTATGAAGCTGTTTCAGTGTCGTTCCTCACGTATCTGAGGTTAAAGCGGACTAAGAGGTATCTTGGTGTCCTGTGAACATGACATCTCAGAGTTGTATCTTCCAATCATCCCTCCTTTTCTTTTCTGTCCAGTCACTCTCTGCTGTTTCTATCAAAATCAAAACAAAGCTACCTTTCTATTAATTTCTAGTGTCTTCCTCCGGAACTAGTGTCTCAGTTGCATAATGCAAAGTTGAGACAGGGTATCGGATACATCATATCGAGATCTAATTAAGATTGAGTATAGGTCTCACCTCGAATGCATCTTGAGTGACATTTGAGAGTTGACATCCTCATTACATTTTATCATTATCATTGGAAAACAGCTTTTTATTGCATTTTGCATCCCCAACTGCACTGCGGATCAATTTTTAAAGTATTTTTGCCTTCAAAGGTGGTTGTTAGAGAGTTGACAAGAAATGATTGGAGACAGGGAAGGAATGCAACGTGATCTCATCCCGACTTGTCATATTTGCCACTTGTGCAGAAGCCCCAGCATTTCTAATATGACACCGGGGGCAGTATTTGCTTTGTACTTTGATGCAGAAGCTGTAAAAAGGGGTTGGTGGTTAGGTTTAGGCAACAATACGACTTGGTTATGGTGAGGTTGTGAATCTTGCCGAAAAAACTGTGTGGCACAAAAGCAACTGAAAAGGCAGCGGTGTGTTGCTACAAAACATCTGGCTTTGAGTGGCACAAACACTGCAACCGATGTTGTTTGTTGTTTTCGAACACAACTCCCTTGAGTTTAAGTCTGGGTCAAAATCCAGAGCAGACTTTAAGGGTGCTCTCATGCTTTGGTCTGAATCAGGGACTAATTTTGTGAGAAAGTTGCATAATTGCCTAGAGTTGGTTTGTGTTCTCACAGCAGCATTTACAAGCGGACCAGATAAAATGTCTTGTGTGAGAAAGCTGCTCTTGATTGGTC